CTATTTGTTGGGATAGGAATCTGAAACTTTACATACAGCTTGTCACCAATTATGGCAGCATATCACACTTCAAATAATGTGTTTAAGAAAAAGAAAATATATTTTTTGGATCATTTGATATACAAAATTATAATAATATAAAATGTATTAAAAGGTTAATGTCATCTTTGATAGTACTAACATTTTATTAATTCTTTGCGATCGATGTACGATAGATGAGATTGTTTCTCTCTTAATCATAGATTTTGATTTCAACCTAAGGTATGAAAAATCATTGATAAGGAACGCTACCTTTCAAATGAGGTCCTGCCCAGCATAACTCTTCATTAATTTAACTCTAATATAAATATTATACACTGAACAAAAAATAAAAATAAAATTATTTAAGTGATAGGACAATAATACGTTAAATAATCAGATATATATAAATTATAATCTAATATGAAAAGCTTCTTGTACAATGATAAATGTGGTTCAAAAATTATTCTAGTCAAATTTCAAATTTAAGTTAGTGACATTTTTTCATGAATTCCTCTTAAGAATTTTTAAATTCCCTATTACTTGTCAAATATGATTTTAGTGTGAATCAAATATTACTATAGGTGATTTTATTATATTTACACTTTTGTCTTGTAAGTACATGAAACATTTTTTTTACTAAATTCTTACCCCTTTTCTTTCTTTTATTACTTAAACTTTTATGACACGATCCAAATTTAGTGCATCATGATCAACACACAATAATATAAATTTAGTCAAGTGAATTCATAAACCTTATTTAATGGTTAACACATGAAATAATCCCATACCATTGTGTATTAGTAATTTATCAAATCACTTATCAACAAAGGTTACGATAAATCAGATATCTTGAATAGAGTCCACCTAAATACTGTTAGAATATACTATTAACCATGCGTTTTGATAAGTATTAATATTGAACAATTGTTTATTTATTTATTCAATTCAATAAAGTGTTACATTAAATAGATCAATTGTCATATATGTGTCCTTAACTTATATAGTAGATGATTTGGTGTATAGAGTTTAAGCTTATACACAGAAGATTAAATCATCAGTTTTTATAAGTTAAAATTTATAGTTCACAATCATAGATGGAAATTTGGACAAAATCATCAGAAAGATTGTAGCACGAGATTAAATGTAATTTATCTTGATTATGAGAATGGCATAGTTCTAACTTCTAGTGCTAGTGCATTTGGTATGTATTGAACGGGACCAAGCAGAGATAGTTGTTTTAGACTGACTGATAAAAACATATGCTCTAAACTATTAAATGTACTTATATTCTTAATCTTGATATAACGATTATGATCTGAATTTATTATTTATCATTTTGATTTATTAAAAGGTGATATTCTGAGATGGGTCAATATGCCTGGTAAATTGGATGATAATAATATATATTGGTGAAATAATTAGTTAGTTGATGGAATCCATGTCTCAGTATAGAGATTGATGATACACCTTTTATGAGAATCTTGTAAGTTTTCATGTGTAAACCCGGCCGGTAGATTTATGAATCTGGCACATGAAATAAGTTAAGTATTGCTCTAAAAGAATTTAATCATTGAATTAAATTCGTCAGTAATTTAATTTATTGATTAGTATCGGTAATCTTAACATGGAGAATCAAATAAGTGTTTAGTGGTGAATTTCGAAATAAATAGAGGAGTTCAATTACGAATTTTTAGTGGAATGATTTGTAATTTATTATGGTAAGAATAATTTAAATTAATTATTTAGAATTATTTCCATAATAGGAAGCCTCAGTAATAAATTTTGTGGTCCTTCCAGTGCCCAATTTAACTAGAACTCAGAATCCTATTTTCTAGTAGAAGATGGAAAAGTAGCGTTCTTTTTCTTTGGAGGAAAACGTGTGTTTTCAAGTTCTCCTAAAAGAAAAAGAATTGATTTTTCCTCTGGACTAGGAAGACATCTCCTAAAAGGAAAAAAATTGGTTTTTCCTCTCCTCTTTGGACTAGGAAGACATCTCCTAAAAGAAAAAGAATTGGTTTTTCCTCTCCTCTTTGGACTAGGAAGACATCTCTATAAATAGGGATTTTTCTAACCTAGATTGAATAAGAGAATTATATACAATACTTGCCCACCCAAGTATTAAGAGAGTTCAGTTGTTGATTGAGATTACTGTAGAAGACTACAGAACTGGAGTTGGATTTACTTCAAGATATCTGCACACGCTTAATTTTCAGCATACTTTGTATGTGATAACTATTTGTGATTGTTATTTATATTCATGCAAGATGTATGATTTTGAAATGCTTCCGCTGTGTATGCTATTTTCCAACAAATACATGATCGTGTTTTTTGAAAAACACTTTATCTTCATATGAGATTTTTTAACACAAACCTAAATTTATTCAAATTTTATAACGAATATCAAAAAATTGTCAAATCATCTACAATAGTTATCCATTGAAACAATTCTTATTATTATTATTATTATAATTATTAAATTGTCAAAGTCGTCCACAATAGATGTGATTGGGGTCCAACTATGTTAGACTACCTAGAGTAGGCCCAAGTTAAGTTTGTCACTCAATTTTTGCAATTATAAAAATAAAATGCTAATAGTTGTAATTATATATTAAATAATTGAAGCTGAAAATAAATTATACTTCCAATTAAAGTTGTCCCAACTATAAATAATTGGGAATAATAGTAGTACTTTTGGTTATTTAAGTTATTTTTCAATTTTAATTTTAGTTTGTGTGATATTTAATAAAGTATATTTAAACTCTAATTAATTGAGTCGAATATTTTTGCTATGTCATGAAGTATGCTATTATATAATTTACTATTAAATATAAAGTAATAACGCTATAAAATTAAGCAATGAAATAAATAAACATTATATTAAATTTATACATACATACTAGGAAGGAGATCAAAAAGTGAATATTTCATTTAATCAAAGATTGTATATCTTAATCATATATCACAAAAACTAAAATAATTTACTATTAATTTAGGGACAAAAATCCTATTAATATTTAATCAAGGTATATTTTCGGTGGTAATATCAAATGCAAATAAATGTTTATATAATATATCTTTACATTTCATCTATTAATAGTTAATTTTTTAATTCACTTAGAAATTACGTCAAATAAATGTTATAGAAAGTCTACTTAACTTTAAAATCGTTGTTAATTTTCACAAAAAGAACACCTTTGAGATGTTTATATTAAAAAGGAAAAAAATAAATATCTCTGAACTATCATAAATGGTATGGAAATATCTTCGTCATACTTTTGGAACAATGGTACCGCTGCTGTCCAAAAACTAGAATATATATGTTCTTCACTCTAACGATCAGGGACACATGGCACAATTTTATTTGTTGACAAATATCGGATCGGTGGATAATATTATGACACATTTATGTCCGTTAGTATAAAAAGTATATATATACGCTAATTTTTTTACGATAGAGACACTAATATCTCAAAAATATAACGGATGGTATTTATATACCATTTATGATATATTTATTAAAAAACATAACTATTTTCCAAAAACTGAAAGTTGTTGAGGAAATATTTCAATTTCAAAATAAATATGAGACTCAAGTTCTTTTAAACTATTATATCAACCCTTTTTTCTTCTTTTTTTTTTGACAAATTGAAAGTTTGGTACCAACAGTTGTTATTTCTTTTAATTTTATTATTATATTCTTGTTTTACAACTATTATTTTGGCCAAATAATATTAGTGGTACTCTAAGGTACGGAGGAACAAAAAGACAAAGAGATTTTACTATTTTAATTGTGAAAAATAAATGCCTATTTTTGGACTATTGTTTATTTTTCTAGAGACATGCCCATGTGATTCACCGCAAAAAACAACCAAATCATGGAGTTCCATCCTTTCCCATCAACACCAAACTATTCGTTCGAATCGATCAGTTTAATCGCACCTCGATTAATTTTAAAGAAATTTTTTTTATAATACGTGATATAATATTTATTTTCTATAAATTTGATATAAAATCATAGTATCGCTAATAGCAAGATGATATGGAAGAGATTAAAAAATATTATAGATTTTTCAAAATTCAATAGCTTTTATATAAATTAAATATTTATTTTAAAAAATTTCATTAATAGAGTATATTATTAATCCTAGCGATGGAAAATAAACCTTTATAAAGCTTTGTTGATATTAGATGACACCACCAATAATATTAATCATGAAACTTTCAACCATTATAAATAATTTATTTCACTAATTTATAAAGACGTTTTAAGTAGAAGAAATATAATAACGGTACTCTTACAAGAATGTATTCTTTTAACTTCATATAAATTTTTAATTATTTCCAATAAATAATGACAAAAGTGATAAAATAAATAATTTCAAATAGTATGCAAATTCGAATTTTCCTTTTAATTTTTTTTTTAAAGGGTTCACATTGTTTATAATATTTCTAAGTAGGTTTTAAAGAAGTGAATTAATAAAATTATTTTTTATTTATGATTTTTAATAAACGTGAGAAGAAATTATTTAATATGAAATTGAAGAAAATAAATTAGATAACTCAGCTATATATATTCTTACTTTCCAAATAAATAAATAAAATCGTGTGGGATTTCCAAAGAATACGATAAGTTAATTGAAGTAAAATGAACTATAAATTTAAACACATGACATGCATGTATTGGCTTGGTGTAAACGCTCGATATGTATAGGTTTTAACTAATGTAATATATATAATTTTTAATAGTGATAGAAAATCCATACATGCTCTGATGCGCACAAGGTTAAACATCGGTCATGTAATAACTCACAAACTATCTGAAAAAGGTAATATGCACGGTATGAGGAGCTCAACCTAAAAGACAAGACAAACTCCTTCCTTTTTACCGACAATTAATTTCAAATCAACGTAAAATAACTAATATGAAAATATCTCAAGCTTAAACCACTGTGTCAACAATACGAAACAAATAAATAAAATGTTGTAGTTTAAATCCTTAAGAAAATGGCTGTTAGAAGCAGTTACAAGAAAAGAGTAATAAAATAGTATAGAGATAATGGTGTTGAGGTCAGAGACAGTACAATATATGAATGTTTCCAGTCTGTTTCAAATAATTCCAGCCTACCCCATCTTCCTTTATCATCTTGGAAAAAGAAAAGTGAACTCTTTTACCTATAATCACCATTTTTAGGTGATCTGTTTAAAGACTTATTTCTTCACCATTGTTGAGAATTTGGTTTTTTTTCTTCGTTTTTTTGGTTACCATTGTCTCCAAGATTGGAGCTTTTGACCATTTTGTTGGTCTCAGATCTGTTTGCTGATTTGGGGTTTTTCCTGTACTGAAGGTGTTCATTTATTCTTGTGGGTTTTGGTTAAAAACCCATGTTGTTTGAGTTGCCTATGAGAGATTTGTGAAGGTATTCTTTTAATGTTTATGCTTCACTTTTGATGTTTTTTTTGGATTGTTTTTTGGTTTGGGGGTAGAAAGTGATTGTACTTGTTAAGGGGTTTTTCTTATTTGAAATTTTGTTTAGTGTTGAAACAATTGCTGGTGGGGTTTTGGGGTTTTGAGTTTTGTAATTGAATTTGGAAGAGTGTGTAGGTAGTATCAGAAAAGGAAGAAACTTTTGGGGGAGTTATTGCCTTATTTGGGGGATAGTGAAGTTATGAAAGTCAAAGGGAGGGAGGTGTTTGTGATAATTCCTCTATTGGTATTAGTTGTGTTTGTTGAAATTGGTGAAGCTCAAACAAAGACTTTTCTGGTAAATTGTGGTACAAATTCTAGTGTGAATGCAGATGGTAGCAAATGGATAGGTGATTCTGATCCTGGTAGTAATGTTACTTTGAGTTCATCAGGTATAGAGGCATCTACTGACTCATTTAATGGTGATCCATCTTATGAGTCACTCTACAAAACTGCCAGGTTTTTTTCGGAAAGTTTTAACTATACTTTCAAAGGATCACCTGGTAGTTATTTCCTTAGGCTCCATTTCTATCCCTTTACATTTGGGAATCGTGATGCGAATGAGTCGTATTTTGCTGTTGCTGCAAATGGTTTGAAGTTGGTTTCGGAGTTTAATGTTGCTGGTGAGATTTTGCTCAAGAACTCGCTCTTGGAAGGTTCCGGAGGCAATTCCAGTATCTTTTCATTGGTGAAGGAGTATTTTGTGACTTCTGATATTGATGTCTTTGTGCTCGAGTTTGTTCCGAATCGGGATTCGTTTGGATTTGTTAATGCTATTGAGATCATCCCTGTGACTGATAAGCTATTTGTTGACTCCATCAGTAAAGTTGGTGGCAATGGTGCTAAGAGTTCTTTAAATTTGAGTAAACGAGGGATTCAAACTATGTACAGGTTGAACATTGGTGGTTCAGCAATTAAATCCACTCAAGATTCAGGGTTCAGGAGGAAGTGGGAGGCGGATTCAAGCTATATGATCATTGCAGATGCAGGTTCAGAAGCCAAAAACCATTCCAACATTACTTATGCTTCCCCGAATGACACCTCTGTTGCTCCGCTTCTTGTGTATGAAACAGCAAGAATTATGAGCAACACAGATGTCATGGAGAAACGGTTGAACATGTCATGGAAATTGGATGTGGATCCAGATTTTGATTATGTAGTCCGCTTACATTTCTGTGAGTTTGACTTTAATAAACCAAATCAAAGGATCTTCAAAATTTATATAAATAACAAAACTGCAGCAGACAACTACGACATTTTCTCAAGAGCTGGGGGAATGAACAAGGCTTACCATGAGGATTACTTTGATGCGATATCCTCGAAAAGTAGCAGCCTCTGGGTTCAGCTTGGTCCAGATACAACGACTGGTTCTGCAGGCACTGATGCTCTTTTGAATGGTTTGGAGGTTTTCAAGTTGAGTCGGAATGGTAATCTTGCCTATATACAGAAATATGAGGATGTTCCAGAAAAATCAACTTCGAAAAGTTTAATCCTGTGGGTAGGAATTGGAGCAGGTGTTGCATCCATTATCTTTCTTGCAGGATTAGTCATGCTTATTATATGGCTATGTAGAAGGCGGAGTAGCAAAGATGACACAAAGAAAAACTCACCTGGATGGAGACCTTTATTCCTTCATGCAGCTGCTGTGACCAACACTGGTAATGGTAAGGGATCAATAGAATATCAAAATCTTGGAACTCTAAGATCTGGAAGGCGGTTTACTCTAGCAGAGATTAAAGGAGCAACAAACAACTTTGATGAAAGCTTAGTGATTGGAGTGGGAGGATTTGGTAAGGTTTTCAAGGCAGAACTCGATGATGGAACCCTTGCTGCAATCAAGCGAGCCAATCCTCAATCTCAGCAAGGACTGAAAGAATTTGAAACAGAAATCGAAATGCTTTCTAAGCTAAGGCATAGGCATTTGGTCTCCATGATAGGTTTCTGTGATGAACAGAATGAAATGATTTTGGTTTATGAGTACATGGCCAATGGAACTCTCAGGAGTCATCTCTTTGGCAGTGATCTACCATCCCTAAGCTGGAAGCAAAGACTAGAGGCGTGCATTGGTTCAGCTCGTGGTCTGCATTACCTTCACACAGGGTCAGAGCGGGGAATTATCCATAGGGATATCAAGACAACCAACATATTGTTAGACGAGAATTTTGTGGCGAAAATGGCTGATTTTGGGTTGTCTAAAACTGGCCCTTCTTTGGAACATACTCATGTCAGTACAGCAGTGAAAGGAAGTTTTGGTTATCTGGATCCCGAGTATTTCAGGCGGCAGCAGTTGACTGAGAAATCTGATGTTTACTCCTTTGGGGTTGTGCTGTTTGAAGTTATATGTGCGCGCCCTGTTATAAATCCAAGCTTACCAAGAGATCAGATCAATCTTGCAGAATGGGCAATGCGGTTTCAACGAAAAAGATCTCTTGAAACCATCATTGACGAACAACTCGCAGGACAATATTCCACAGAATCATTGATGAAATTTGGAGAAATTGCTGAGAAATGTCTGTCAGACGAGGGAAAGTTGAGACCAACAATGGGAGAAGTCCTCTGGCATCTGGAATATGTTTTGCAAATTCATGAGGCTTGGCTGCGGAAGAATGCAGGGGAAGACTCTGCTTCTGATATTCGTGTTCTAGAGACTGTTGAGGAGAGAGGAACTGAAACTTCTGAAGACCAGACTCATGTTGAATCAAAAAACAAAGAAGACGATGAACCTGCAACAAGTACCAGTGGCACTAGAGATGCCATGGCTGATGGAGTAGATGACTTTTCACAATTCATCAGTCAAGAAGGAAGGTGAGATCCAGTTGATTGTAATGTCTGGACTGTTATAGGCCTGAATTCTTTCCATTTTTGTCGCACGCGTCACGATAACCTCAATCAGCTTCGACAGAGCTCATTAAGCAGAAAGAACTTAGAATGGAGGATGTGAAGATCTTGGTAACACCTTCATGCTCTCAGATTAGACTTAAATCTTTTTCCTCCTGAATCCTTGTTGATCAGGATTTAATGATTCTTTTATTATTGTATGTACTTCATGTATGTTTGAGGGAACGCCACTAAAAGTTGATGAATTAGAATGTAATACTTATATACTTCAATGGAAAAATGAAATATTGTTTGATGAACACATTTCCTCTCAAACAGTTGCATGTCCAAATTTCTTTGCTTCACTTTTGAGTCTTAGATTGAAGAAAGTGGATATCACTGAGATGGTTTTGGTTGTTTTGATGCATGCCCAGTCGTCCATGGTTGTATGGTTTTAAGAGCTCTAAATTCTTGATCATGACTCTTGAAGATATATTTTTAAACCTATTAACGAAAGGTGATTCTACTCATGTACGGAACAACATAATAAATAGGGTACTTCTTGCCTGGTCACCGCTTAAATCTATTGTACGTGCAAAAAAATTCGATACGCAGAACCAAAAGAATCCTATCTAGTCTAATCCAGGTATTTTGCCCACCACATAATCAAAATTTCACTTTCTTTCGAAGGACAGCTCTCTTTTGATGAAATTTCATTTGTCCCACAAGTGAGTGAAAGAATTACTCAATAACAACTCTTAAATCTTTTCCACTGTCATTCATCATACCTGACAAATAGTTGGATCATGGTGAAAACAAAATACCCCACAGGTTTAAATTGGCCATCAAGACATAGGATCACTTTCCTTCACTCATTCAGTAACCAAATGTAATAAATTGGCCATCAAGACATAGGATCACTATCCTTCACTAACCAAATGTAATAAACAAGCGCTGACTCATAAAGATCAGTATCTCACCCTGCATGTTACCTCTATAGAGTAACTTTAATTCGTTCAAAGACGGTCCTTCCACTCAGCACGTTCTTATCACCAAGGCTGACTTGAGTTCAAATCCTTTGTTAAGATACAAGGGCAGAACCATAAGTTCCTAGAGTGCCAAATATGCGGTGAACAGTGATCACATAATCTCTCTCTATCTAGAGAGAGAGAGAGATTGCTTTGCTGGAAGCTGCAAACAAATACTGCTTATACCAGAGAGAAAAATAGAAACATAAATATGCACTAACATTAAGTCATCACGAGTACAAATTCCCCATATCCTCACAACCTGCTCTCTATCCTGCAATGACTAAACCAGGGCCTCACAAATTCATCAAGGCATTACAGAAATGTGACATAAGGGCGAAGAAAGTGAAATGTTAATTTGTCAGCCCTGACAATGCGAAACGTAAAAGAGAAGAGATAGATGGACTAAGAGATGAAGTGAAGCCAGGAAAGATCAAGTCGAGTTTGCAGCTGATTCCTTGCGCCTACTAAATTGTACAATTATGTTTCTGAAGCAATTACATCAGCGTACTGTGATGAAGTGAAGCCAGGAAAGATCAAGTCGACTTTGCAGCTGATTCCTTGCACCTTCTAAATTGTACAACTATGTTTCTGAAGCAATTAAATCAGAATACTGTGATGAAAATCTCATGTAGTACTACTCCAATTATCCAAAATTTTTATGCTTAAATGTACAAGATGAACATTTCCGTACATGAAGCCTGTATCTTCTCATTTCTTTGTCAAGAACCGTGAGCCAGCACCTGAGGTTTGATTCAATTTGCGCCTCTTAACTACCAGCCGGTGTTTCAACTAAACAGAAGGAACAACACTAGGTTCAATATTCTATACCTTCATAAGTTGGTCAGGAAAGTATACAACGCAAATTAAACAACAATTGTAAGGGAAAACAACACAGATCATTTGTAGGACAAGGATCCACCATCAGTAATTCACTACTTAAATGGGCACCCCCTTTTCCGACAATTTAGATACAGTTCATAAAGGGAAAAAATAGCAAATAAAACTATACTAAAAAGTTACAATAACATATCCAATGGAATCCCACCAGTGGGGTCTAGGAAGAGTACAAAGTAAACAGACCTTACCACTACCTCATGGAGGTAGAGAGGTATTTCCAAAAGACCATCATCTCAAGTGTAGCAAATCCAAGCACAAAGAATAAGAAAACATAGAAATTAACAAGGGAAGCAGTACAAATCCTACAAGAAAGGAACAAGAACACAAAATAGTGCCATAATTGAAACACAATAAACAACAAACAGTGATAGATATCAAAAGCAAGAAGTACAATAATACAACCAGTACAACAACAAACACCAACAAACCTAAACCCACGAAAAGCAAGACAACACTCAACTGCCTACTAACCTTCTACCCTACTATGCGTGCTCCACACCCTCCTATATAAGGTGATGTCCTGGGTAACCTGAAGTAGTTACATAAAAATCTTTCTTTAATTGTGACACACATCTCGTCGTTGGTCATGCATTACCAAATGAGAGAGAGAAATCAAATCCAACTTATTTTTCCTTGTCCAAGGAAACCATATTAATTTTTTTGGAACTGGTAACATGACCAAGGAAAACATGTTGCGCAAAGCCTATATCCTAGTTTCTCTTTGCTGTTTGTCTTGTACAATAGTAGTAAATTGGGACTCTGCACAACTAGTTTACTACAGCACATCTCAAACTTAAAGCTGTCCAATAGTATAGAGGGGCCAGAATCCTGCAGGGTTCCATTTTGTGCACAGGGAGGCGACTAGTAGGAGAATAAGACCTTACTCCACTTAAAGAGAAATAGGACAAGATGGATAGTATCTAATACAATCACCAAAGGAAGTTTAGATATATCTTCTTCAACGAGAAAACTATTTTAATAACAAAAGGAACGAACACCTTGGTGTACAAGAGGCAGAGACAGCGGGATACAAAAACAGTAGCTCGCAGAAACCCCATCGAGTACAAAGGAAATAGAGAATTGCTGTGACTTTGCATTAACTCATTTTCTAAACAGATTATGTAACAGAAATAGTTGAGAAACATAATTGCATTTGAAAAGAATTTTTCTATTTTAGAAGAATGTAAAACACCAGAAGACAGAAATTTTTTAGTCATGTATATAATTTGGCTGATGGGGTCGATCTTTTGCATTATATTATTTCTTACCTACACCTCTTGCTAAATAAAGCATATAAGTGACTCATCCATTTATCAAAACAGGAAAAGAGTGATATAATAAGGTTTGCTGATATACCATCTCCATATACTTCAATTGCTTCAGAACTTCCTCCGTCTCTAGTTCCTGAGCCAGAGTGAGAGACAAAGAATAGCGATCAGAAAAACAATTTAAGAAATATTATATGCTTTACTTGAGCCAAGACTCAAAAGTCTAGTGGAAACAGCCTCTCTACCTTCACATGGTAGGGGTAAGGATGCGTACACACCACCCTCCCAATATCCCACTTGTTGGATTACACTGGATATGTGTTGTTATTAATAAGGATAGATCTCAATGAAATGGGCAATATAGCAAATGAAAAACCCAAAGATCAGTAAAAACATGCAGCAATGCCATAATATCAATGTCATGGAACTTGTAGGACTTTTTTTTTATGACCGTGTTATGGCACTTCTAGGATTTCCAATCCACATGTATTTCATTGCTTCTAGAAAAATTATTTAGAGTATCAAAGGTTTAATCATTCCATACATGTAAGAGTCCACAGAAAAAGCTTAGTTTAAATATTACTGTATACGTTTCAGTATAAACCTCCATCTTTTTAGGGACATGAGAAGAGTGGATATGAACATAGCAAAATACTAGCCCAAAGAGGGATAATGGCCTCACTTAATATTACACTAAGCATCTTCCCCGAGATGATGATGAAAAACACTGAAGCTATTATAGCACTTGAATGACTCTTCAATATAAACTCAAAAATATAAGTATTTCTTTCTGACACATGCTAGCATAAAATCTGTGCAACAGCTAGACAACTTTGGAAGCAAACGCCTTAATCTCACCAAAAAACTAATTCTCCAAACTAACAAAAACAAAATGCAAATATGCAATAGATCTATCTCATATAGAGCTGGATCCCAAAGGACAGAACGGAAGCACTCCCAATTATCTGTTTGAACTTCAAATAATCGAACATAGCAAATATACTAGCCCAAAGAGGGATAATGGCCGCACTTAATATTAACACTAAGCATCTTCCCCGAGATGATGATGAAAAACACTGAAGCTATTATAGCACTTGAATGATTCTTCAACATAAACTCAAAGATATAAGTATTTCTTTCTTACACATGCCAGCATAAAATCTGTGCAACAGCTAGACAGCTTTGGAAGCAAACGCCTTAATCTCAACAAAAAAATAATTCTCCAAAACTAACAAAAACAAAATGCAATAGATCTAGAAGCAAGATCAGGGATGGGGAAGAAAAGAAACATAGAGCGAGGAATGGTAATGGGGAAGGAATGAATCAAGTTAATGAGTTAAGTTGAAGAAAAGATGTTGAACACAACATCTGGACTGAAAAAAACTCACATACTTGAGGTACAGCACAATCGGCGTGAGCTGGATCCCAAAGGACAGAACGGAAGCACTCCCAATTATCTGTTTGAACTTCAAATAGCGGCGCCCTGTCATGATAACACCAAATTGCAGATTGGGTATCTTGAATAGATAAAAAATAGAACACCAAGATAAAACAACATAAATATCATGCTGGATTCCTTGATAAGTAAACTTCCCATTTAATACGTGAACTTCCCTTTCTACCACTTTCACTTCTCACTGATCTCAGTACTCTTCTTATCAAACTACTGACATGGCTTTTATCTCATGGGTCTTATATCAAAGGTCGAGAGTAGTAGTTAAAGATTCAGGAGGGACATCAAGTTGCAGGGGTTTTCCTTTTCCTCTTTTGGAGTTCCTTCTCATTAATAGAGGAAAATAATAAAGGGAACATGCAATAATTTGATCAAGACACGTAATGGTGTCCATTTCCGAGAGCTGAAACTATCTTAATGGAACAGCCCAGAATTAGCAGCATCCACTTGAAACACCTAAAGCTGGAGCAAAACAATTCAATAGTAAAAGTGCAGAAGGCTCATTACCTTCGCCACTTCCCACAGATACTTCCATCCACACGTTTCCCAAAACCTTCGTTGACCTGCCGGCACTGAAGCCAATTGCCAATAGAGCTAATCCTCATATGTTCGTTAGAAGATTGTTTCTGACCAATATAATTTGGTTATTCGTAAATAATTTTTCCTAGAACTGAGCAGGCAGCTGTA